GTTAAAAGCTCATAATAAACTAGATACTGATGAAACACATCTCAAAATATTAAGAGCTATTTATGGCAAACCCACAAACAATATCATATTGAATGGGCAAAAGCTGGAAGCATTCCCTTTGAAAATCAATACAAGACAGGATGCCCTCTTTTACCACTACTATTCAACATAGTATTGGAAGTTCTGGCCAAGGCAATCAGGCAAGAGACAGAAACAAAGCGTATTCAAATAGGAAGAGAGGAAGTCAAATTGTCTGTGTTTGCAGATGATATGATTCTATATTTAGAAAACTGCATTGTCTCAGTTCCAAAACTCCTTCAGCTGATAAGTGATCTCAGCAAAGTCTTAGGGTACAAAATCAGAGTGCAAAAATCACAATCATTCCTATATACCATCAATAGACAAGCAGAGAGCCAAATCACGAATGAACTCCCATTCACAATTGCTACAAAGAGAACAAACTTCCTAGGAATACAGATAACAAAGGATGTGAAAGACCTCTTCAAGGAGAACTACCAACTACTACTCAAGGAAAATGAGATGACACAAATAAATGGAAAAACACTCCATTTTCATGGACAGGAAGAATCAATATGGTGGAAATGGTCATACTGCCCAAAGTAATTTACAGATTCGATGCTATCCCCATCAAACTACCGCTGACATTCTTCACAGAATTAGAAAAAACTACTTTAAGTTTCATATGGAACCAAAGAAGAAACTGTATAGCCAAGAAAATCCTAAGCAAAAAGAACAAAGCTAGAGGCATCATGCTACCCGACTTCAAACTATACCACAAGGCTACAGTAACCAAAACAGTGTGCTACTGGTATTAAAACAGACATACAGACCTATGTAACAGTATAGAGACCTCAGAAATAACATCACACATCCACAACCATCTGATCTTCGACAAACCTGACAAAAACTAGCAATGGGGAGAGAACTTCTTAATATCAATAAATGAGCTGATATCCATAGAGCAAGTGTTATCAGAGACTGGTTTGGGGAGGGGAGGATGGGGAGAGGCTGATCAATGGGTACAAAATTATAATTAGAAGAAACAAGTTCTAGTGTTCCATTGCACAATAGGGTGACGATGTTTAACACTTAGGTATTTTACATTAAAAATAGCTATAAAAGAGGCTTGGATGACCATCAAAAAGAAATGATAAATGCAAGAGGTGATAGTCATACTAAATACACTGAGTTGATCATTATACAACATACGTATGTTCAAAACATCCAATTATACCCCTAAACATAGGGGTATATTTTAATCATATGTATGATTAAAATATGTGAATTAAAATAAATATAATAGATGAACAAATACAAATCCATATAAACAAAAGGTTATACTAAATCAAAAGGGTGTGTCAGGTTTTTTCTCACTACTGAGGGATCAATATTGTTAATAATATTTGATTGTAATTTTTTACACTTTCAAAATCCAGAAGCCTGTGTGTGCGTGTGTATTCTAGAAAAATGGAATCAACTAAACTTTTATATCCTTATTTAACTGTATGTCAAATTCTTAAAAAATATTAAAATAGCATTTTACTGGTTTATACAATACTGCCTTATATAGAATTTGAATTAACATTCTTTTATTTTTGGCTATTTAAGAAGGTCTCTTTTCTAATATCTACTACTCTAAATAATATTGCCATAATAATTCTATATGAATCTTGGATGGTATTATTGATGATTCCTTTAAAATAGAATATTGGAAATTAATTTTTTTTAAAGTTGTCCTTTAATAGATTTAAAAAGAATATTTTTATTGTAGTAAATCTAGAAAATTCAAAATATGTCATAAATATTAGACAATATGTAAAGAAATTTAAAAATACCTATATTTTTCAAGAGATAACTCTAGAAAATACTTTGATGTATACTTGCTATTATTATATATATAATTGTATATACTCTTTAGTTTGAGTTTTGATACTATCTTGCCAGACATATTTTTAAAATCAGGTTTATGATTGTCCAGTAAGCATTATTTCTTTATCTAAGTGCTGGATTAATTTGCACAATAGGTAATTATCTTTTTATTTAAAACTTAAAAAAATATGATACGGTGCCTATGATAAGACTGCATTACTAGTTTGTAATATTTTTTTCAATTTCTTTCATGATTGACAATCTACTTAGAATATCTACTTTTATTTTAAGCAGTTGGGACTATTTATCTTTTCCCCAGAAAGGCTTACATTTTCTTGAGAGTATTCAAACTTACCAGCACAGTAATTACATGGGTTGGGGAGGGGAGGATGGGGAGAAGTTGATCAATGGGTACAAAATTATAATTAGATAGAAGAAATGAGTTCTACTGTTTTATTACATAGTAATATCTTCTATTTGTTGTTGTTGATGGTTTTTTTTTGAGACTTGGTCTCGTGTTGTCTTACAGGCTGGAATGCAGTGGGGTGATCACAGCTTATTGCAGCCTTGGCCTCCAGTCT